ACTTAAAAACAAAAAACCCACAAACACACAAAGGAAACTGCATCTTTCAGAGTTGGGGGGGGGAAGAAAACAAAAAAGCTCTCTTATTTCAAGGAGCTACTGATTAAAGAAACAAAAAAATATTTAACTGTATGCACTCTGCTGTCCCTCACGTCTCTTGAAAAGTCTGTATTTTTGTAGTATATCATAATATCTTTATTCTTTAACTTAGGTATCTCATTGCAGGATTGGATCCTTTCTATATTTTCAGTAGATGTTGTTTGCAGATATTCCTTCTCTTTTCAGAAAGACAAACACCTGAATTGTTTTCTTTCATTTTCTTTAAGTTTTGTAACATACTGGCCAGAAGTCCCAAGGACAAGTAAATCAGGAGAGCCCACGGAAAACAGGCAAACATTGTACCTTATAACTTTAGAGTTAAGGCACACTTTACACAAAGAGCCTATGACTAGTTCATCAGATAAGGCTTATATCTTTCTCCCTGGAATCTAATAACACTTCTTCTGAGAACACTTTTTGGTCAGCTAGAACTAAGCAACTGAATGATTCTAGGGCTTTAATTACAAAAAAAAAAAAGAAATAAGCAGTTTTTCAAGAAAAAGGAAAGTATAATTAGCTAAAGACTTAACAAGTAGAACTTTGCCCATAAAACAAGATGTTTCATGGACAATCCAGCAAGAGACTGGCCATTCTCAAATCCCACTGATTCCAGTTTCTTACAGGGCTGGGAACAAGCGTGCTATGCAAGTCTCACACTACCACACACTTCAGCAGCATCAGCATTTTATTTTAAATGTCATTTAATACTACTTCTGGCCTAAACCTAGAGGAAAAAAACCACACACATTCAGTTTTCTTTGATTTTTAAGCGCTTTACAGAGTCAGGTGCTATACCTGTTCTGACAATAGGTTAAACAGAGTCTCATGAGTCAAGAGGACAAAAGCAACCCTTCCCCCCACGGGAGAGTAGGAGGGCAATAAAAATTTATCTTTTATGATTCACTATTTAACCAGCAAAATAAATACTGCTAATACAAGCACTGAAGAAATCCAGTGACATCTTACAATATCAGTTACGTCTCGAAACACCCAATAAGCAACTGTGTTACCATTGATACAGCAGGCGCTAATTTACTTCCCCCCCTCGCCGAGTCGGTATTTTTCGGAGTTATTCCTCAGCCTTCGAGGAGCCCCTCGCGGGCAGATAAACACCCGTCTGCTGCGCAGAGGAGCCCTTCAGCGAGGTAAAAAAAAAAAAACCCTCACGGTTTCCTCATAAACCGAGCACAACAAACCGCGGGAGACGCGCAAGGCTTCTCATCGACCAGAGGACCACCTCAGCCGCAAGGAAAAGTTAACTCCGCGCGAGCCCTCACCTTACACTTTCGCCACAAACACCGAAAAAGCGGCGCTCACCCCCGCCCCCTCCACAGGAGCCCCCGGTCGTGCCCCGGCTCCCTCAGCGGCACGAGCCCGCGCCGCCTTTGTCCGCCCCCCTCGGCTCCGCGCCCCCCG